ACTTTTTTATTTTCATAGTAACTTTGAATATTTTTGGCCAAGACTATGTCTGGTAGCAGCATCAATCGTTCTGGAGGTGTTAAGAGGAAGAAGGTTGTCCTAGCAATTAAAGACAAGTTATGTGTTGTTCAACCAGTGAGGCGCCATAGGCAAGCCAAGCGCCTTCAACAAGTGAGGAGCAAGCAAGCAAGCGCCTTCAACAAGCGAGGCGTCACAAGCAAGCCAAATGCCTTCAACAAGTGAGGCTTCACAGGCAAGCCAAGCGCCTTCAACAAGTGAGGACATGCAAGCGCTTCAACAAGTGAGGCGCATGCAAGCGCCTTCAACAAGCGAGGCCTCACAGGCAACCCAAATGCCTTCAACCAGTGAGGCTTCAGCAGCTGGCAGTCAAAACTAACTTTGCTTAATGAACTGTACAGTAATTTTAAGTGTTGTGTTAGTATAGGTTATGTAAATTGTTAAGAATTCTTAACTTCAAGATGTGTGGCATCAATCAAGAAGACAAACACCAACAAGGTAAGTTGAGGTTTCTAGTTGAATATTTAATAATTATATGTGGCAAGGCAATTCAAATTATGTTGTTTGTAGTATAAAAGTAGTTGGAAATTGTAACTTTTGGACTCGTAGGTGAAAAAGTACCATTATCCGAAAAATGTGATAATCCGGCTGGGGGTCCTTCCCATATAGTCCGTATGATCGAGTGGAGACAGTATTTCACTAATGCAATCCACTTGGGGTAGCTATAGCACGTTACGTAGGCTGCCAGGAGGAAACAAACTCACAATATTTTTAAAGGAAACTTCAGCCTATGCACATTGTTTTTAGGAAACTTATATACAGTGGTACCTCGGAATGCGAGTGTCCGTGTATGCGAGTTTTTCGGAAGACGAGCAGGATTTACTCCAAAAATATGTCTTGGAAGGCGAGGGTTACCTCGGGACGCGAGTTTGTTGATACGTGTACAGGCCGACTGGCGCGTGGTGGCATGGCGATCGCGCCTCAGTTTACCAGTGTCTCGTGTCCATTGACTATCCCACCTGAATTCTTCACAAGGATTTACAGTTTTTTATCGGTTTTTTGGCCATTTGAGCATAAAAGTTGTCATTATATATCTTGCCATGGGTCTCAAGAAAGCCATTGGTAAGGTTCAACATAAGAAAATAGCTGTGAGTAGAGGCAGTAGAGGATGTCCCTTCTTGATTAAGAAAATGTGTGAAGTATGGGAAGAACTGCAAAGTTTTGTTGAAAAAACTCACCCAGATAAAGCTGTAGCAGGCCGTTGCATTGACCTTTTAAATGATAATGTGATGTCTTACTACAGACAAGTGTTAAAATGTAGGGAAAAACAAGTGTCATTAGATAAATTCTTAGTAAAACAAGCAAGTCCTAGTGGTATGCAGGCAAAATGTGCCAGTGTGTGCATACCAGTGAAGTCCTCACTGCCTAATGTGATAATGGAAGGGGACTCCCCTTCCAAACAGTAACTCCTCTCTTCCTCCCACCTCCTCACCATCTTCCATACGCCTACAGCATTCAACAGCAAGGTAAGTAATAACTTGAACATAGTTTTGTAGGTTTATTTAGATGAATTAGGTATAAAAATTTAGTTTGATGTGGGGTTTTTGGGGTAGTCAGGAACGGATTAATTCATTTCCCTTTATTTCTTATGGGGAAATTAGCTTCGGAATGCGAGTTTTCGGAATACGAGGCGTCTCCAGGAACCAATTAAACTCTTAAACTGAGGTATGCCTGTATTTGTTATTACATAATTACTAGTACTTATTTCATTTGTTTTTGGCTATGATGAATTGTTCTAAAATTAATGGTAATTCCTGTACCTAGGTGGTCCCTCCCGACGCTCCCCTCCCACCCTCCCGACACCACCCAACCCCCTCCGCCACCATGCGTCTCGAGTCACAGGCAGACGGGATTAATACGGTACGGCCCACCCCATGGCTTTCATATCCAGACAATTCAATGATTATCCAGCTAAATCAGCTTTTATCTGGCTCCCATGACCATTTTGACCGGATATTGAGATAACTGTATCCGGTCACGATTTTGGCCGTATAAGGGCGTTTTCCGGATGTTCGAATCCCGGATAATCGCGTGGTTACAGTATAACGTCTGTATATAGTGAATAAAGGTAAAAATAGTATGGTGGGAGGAGAAGGGTGGCGAGTCAGGTGAGATGAGGAGAGGGAGGGAGGGAGGGAGGGAGGGACTAGGGAGGGACTAGGGAGGGAGGGAGGGAGGGACAGCCAGTGGCAGGCTGCCACTGGCTGCCACTGCCACTGCCACTCAGCATACCAACTTAGTGGTTCGTTATGGTGAACACAAATGTAGATACTTATATATAATGTGTATTATAGTGTAATAACAGCAAAAGGAGTGTGAGGAGAAGCCATTTAAGTGAGGAAGGTGACAACATCTGCATGATTTATCATGCTGGGTAGGGGTGGCTACTATATTCTTTGGGAACAAGTAAGTAATTATCAAAAGGAAGGCACTAAACCGGGAAGGCTATGTAGCACCATCAAATGTGCAGGATAATCAAAAGGCGCTAAATATCACCAAGGATGCCAATACGTGAACAGAAATGCATAAGGGGAACGATATCAAAAGTATCCGAGTCACCAAGACTACTATCGAGAGAGAAGCGACCACGAGGGACGGTCGGAAAACAAGACACACGCTCTTCCCAGAAGCCAGGACATTCAACAAGGATGTGCATGACCGTAAGAGGGACAATGCAATTAGGACAATAAGGAGCAGGGCAGCGCTCCATCAAGTGACCATGAGTCAAGAGAGTATGGCCAATAAGCAAACTCGCCAAAGTCGTTTCCCATCGCCGGTTATGGTGGTAGGAGGACGGCCACGAGGACACACAACTTTTAAGAGAACGTAGTTTGTTACCAGTAACAGACGACCAACAAGCCTGCCAACAGGTAAGAATGGAGGAATGGATAACTGGGTAAAAGTCGGAATAAGGAATACCTTTACGAGAGATGGGACAAGAGCGGACAGCTTCCCTGGCGACAGCATCCGCACACTCATTTAAAGAGACACCAATATGGCTGGGAACCCAACAAAACTCAACCGACTTAAATTTACTATGAACAAGAAACAGCCAAAGCCGGATCTCGACAACAACTGGATGAACCGGATTAAAGGACCCGAGAGCCATGAGGGCACTACGAGAGTCAACAACAACCACAAAGGAAGATTGACAACGAGAGAGCAGGAGATGAAGAGCATAAAGAATAGCATAAAGCTCCGCTGTGAAGACGCTAGTCTCCGGAGGTAAGCGACACATATAAGTGTGATCAGGAAAAACAACAGAGTAGCCAACACCGTCCGCAGACTTAGACCCATCGGTGAAGACGGAAACGGAGTGGGAGTGAGAAGAAAAGTGCTCAAGGAGAAGGCGTTTTAGAACCGTAGGAGGGGTTCTTTGGGTACAATACCAGCTTAGATGAACAGTTATGGTGAACAGAACATGTAGATACTTATATATAATGTCTGTATATATAGTGAATAAAAGCATGAACAGTATGGTGGGAGGAGGATGTGGGTGAGTGAGGAGTCATTAAGGGAGTAGCGGTGAGAGGCTGACTGGCAGATGTGATGGCCACACCTCGCTGCTTTTTGACTTGCAATATCAACTTAGTGGTTTGTTATGGTGAACAAAACATGCAGATAGGTATATATAACCTGTGTATATGGTGTAATAACCAACAAAGTATTTGTTTATTGTTTTATGAACACAATAATTGAATCAATAATATGCTCACCATAATTTTGAGTACAGCGATGATTCACACATTTTATTATATAAATATATCACTACACACTATTGAATAATTTTACAGCAAAAAAAGAAGAATCAAAGCTGGGGCTGAGCAGATTGCCTCAAACGCACGCTGAGTCAGCGCCTCTTTCTTGCCAGACTTCCCCGCCCTATAGCAGGCAAAATATGCCACTTACGAATTTTTTATTATTTTTTCTGTGATCAGGGAACACAAATTAACAGGTTTAGAAAAAAAACATTTTTTTTTTTTGTTATGCGTCTGTGGGTGACAATGGCCAAATAGCCCTTAGCAACGCAAGGGTTAAAGAAGCCGATGGGACACCCCACAGAAAATAGCCCATTGTACCTTCTTGCATATTAATCAATATAGTTTTCTTAAAATTTTATTTCTCCATAGCACAAATTAGTTAACTAGAACATCCACTCCATATTTCATCTTGCAATAAAAGTGAGTACGGCCAATGCCACTGCAATTTTGAAATTTAGTTATTCTTTGTTCACCTATTCTTACATGCACAAAGACTTATTGCTATACGTTCCATTCAGTATCTAAGCTATTCTTATCCCATTAAGTGATCACAAGTCTGTAGCTGTTATTACAATATAATTATTATTATCATCATTAAAAATTGCCACTGTTACTGCATTATTTTTATTATTATTATTTTAAATGCTCTTTCTATTCACAATTTTTGATATATAACCTAATCAGGACTTACTCCAATTAAATTATACACTAGGTTATTATTTTAACATGCTTGATGCTAGCTCATTTAACACCAAAAAATATTTATAATCTTTCCAGTGTTCTGACATCAATTTCCATGTTACATCTTTCATTTTGTTATCAAATTGTGTGCAATCTAAAGGTGCTCATTTTAAAACCACTCCCAGATTGATCAGATGAAATTTATACTTTTAACAAATATTTTAAAATGTTGGACGCTGTTCGCGTCCACGGCTCGGACTCAAGAGAAAAATTTTGGACGCCAGGGGCATTCGAAGAGTGCGAAAGTGTTAATGTGAGTAAGTGTCAAGTCAAACAGGACAGGGTTTACATGGATTATTATTTTATGCTATAAGCACTAGGTTCCTCACTACCTTGTCATGAAATGAAGAAACATACATTTAGAGTTACAGTAGTTAGCAAAGTGTAAAATGTAACTTAAATTTTGCATAAAACTCTCACCTGTTTAAGGCCTGCTTCGTCAAGTGGAGCACACTTGAGCTGCCCATTGATATACGCATAAGCATCATGGAGAAATGATCGTATTCGTCGCAGGTGTGCCTGAGCTTGAAGCATGGATGTCTCGGTATATTCCACCTCTGAGTGTTATGTATCATATACAGGTTAACAAAAGTCTATAATACTGTAAAAAGACCTAAAAAAAATCCTGCACATTAACACAGTTATTACATATCAGAAAAAAGGGGAGTAAAAATTTTAATCATTTTGTTTAGTTGCCAAGCAAAAAAAAAAAAAATTGCCGAAATTGTATCCTCAATTTTATATAATGAACATGGTGCTGGCCAATCATTTTATATGATTTAATGCTTTATTCTAAGACCCTTTGTTCTCATGATGAGCAGGTCTCAAGCGTATCTTTTCCTTGCCATACCAACAACCATTAAATACTACAGTTGGAGAATGCACTTGAAAAATTGGATGAAATAATGTACATGTTGGTTTAATTATTAAGTATGTAAAGCATTCACAATTACCCACTGTGAGAAATTAGAAGGTATGACAGGAAAACATGAGGGGATAATAATCATCTTGGTTTTATTATGAAGCACACCTTGAATATCTTATTTTTAGAACATTTGAGAGACCCAAATATATCTTTGTGTCAGTGATACAAAAGGCTATATACACTGAGGTACATGTCTGGGTGTGGCACTTGAGTAATTAGAGCCAGAGATAAGACAGCACAGAGGTATACTGACTATTACGGTAGTGTGAGAGAAGGCAGAAGAGTCGGAAGGCGTTAACAGAATGTTGCCGAAGTAGATCCTCAATGCTAATTGTATTATACAATGACTTCGACATTTTCTCTGTCCCTCTGGTGTGAAGGTGGCCTGCAAAACACAAAACAAAATCAAATTTATTTCTTATCAAAACATACTATTGAATTATGTATAAAAACAGAAAACTCTTAGTTAAACCACATTACAAAAACCAAATCAGGATCAACACCACATGAAGAATGCCAAACTTATCAAAAAAGAAAACACGAATTCAGCAGCCAAAGAGTTAATGAATGCAGATGTCAAAATCTTGGATACAAGCATTAAGGGTAAATATGCAAAACATCTTGAGAGCAGTACATTACTAACAAAACAATTTGGCTTCAGACTGACAAATCTCGTCTTAAAAATCTAAAAGTGATGTAAATTATTACAAAATAATGGATGGTTACATGGTAATTAGATTTCAAAACAGCTTTTGTTAAAACTAAACAAATACAGGTGGTGTTGAGGGTATATTATTCATGATTTTTTAAGGTAAAGTCTAAGGCGATGTCCCACAAGGATCAATACTGACCCCAGCAGCCACTGAGTGAGTCCCACATGATCAATACTGACCCCAGCAGCCACTAAGCGAGTCGCACAAGGATCAATACTGACCCCAGCAGCCACTGAGTGGGTCCCACAAGGATCAATACTGACCCCAGCAGCCACTGAGTGGGTCCCACAAGGATCAATACTGACCCCAGCAGCCACTAAGTGGGTCCCACAAGGATCAATACTGACCCCAGCAGCCACTAAGTGGGTCCCACAAGGATCAATACTGACCCCAGCAGCCACTAAGTGGGTCCCACAAGGATCAATACTGACCCCAGCAGCCACTAAGTGGGTCCCACAAGGATCAATACTGACCCCAGCAGCCACTAAGTGGGTCCCACAAGGATCAATACTGACCCCAGCAGCCACTGAGTGAGTCCCACATGATCAATACTGACCCCAGCAGCCACTGAGTGAGTCCCACATGATCAATACTGACCCCAGCAGCCACTAAGCGAGTCCCACAAGGATCAATACTGGCCCCAGCAGTCACTAATTGGGTCCCACAAGGATCAATACTGACCCCAGCAGTCACTAAGTGAGTCCCACAATGATCAATACTGACCCCAGCAGCCACTAAGTGAGTCCCACAAGGATCAATACTGGCCTCAGCAGCCACTAATTGGGTCCCACAAGGATCAATACTGACCCCAGCAGCCACTAATTGGGTCCCACAAGGATCAATACTGACCCCAGCAGCCACTAATTGGGTCCCACAAGGATCAATACTGACCCCAGCAGCCACTGAGTGAGTCCCACATGATCAATACTGACCCCAGCAGCCACTAAGCGAGTCCCACAAGGATCAATACTGACCCCAGCAGCCACTGAGTGGGTCCCACAAGGATCAATACTGACCCCAGCAGCCACTGAGTGGGTCCCACAAGGATCAATACTGACCCCAGCAGCCACTAAGTGGGTCCCACAAGGATCAATACTGACCCCAGAAGCCAATAAGTGGGTCCCACAAGGATCAATACTGACCCCAGCAGCCACTAAGTGGGTCCCAGAAGGATCAATACTGACCCCAGCAGCCACTAAGTGGGTCCCACAAGGATCAATACTGACCCCAACAGCCACTGAGTGAGTCCCACATGATCAATACTGACCCCAGCAGCCACTAAGCGAGTCCCACAAGGATCAATACTGGCCCCAGCAGCCACTAATTAGGTCCCACAAGGATCAATACTGACCCCAGCAGTCACTAAGTGAGTCCCACAATGATCAATACTGACCCCAGCAGCCACTGAGTCCCACAAGGATCAATACTGGCCTCAGCAGCCACTAATTGGGTCCCACAAGGATCAATACTGACCCCAGCAGTCACTAAGTGAGTCCCACAATGATCAATACTGACCCCAGCAGTCACTAAGTGAGTCCCACAAGGATCAATACTGGCCTCAGCAGCCACTAATTGGGTCCCACATGATCAATACTGACCCCAGCAGCTACTAATTGGGTCCCACAAGGATCAATACTGACCCTAGCAGCCACTAATTGGGTCCCACAAGGATCAATATTGACCCCAGCAGCCACTAATTGGGTCCCACAAGGATCAATACTGACCCCAGCAGCCACTAATTGGGTCCCACAAGGATCAATACTGACCCCAACAGTCACTAAGTGAGTCCCACAATGATCAATACTGACCCCAGCAGCCACTAAGTGAGTCCCACAAGGATCAATACTGGCCCCAGCAGCCACTAATTGGGTCCCACAAGGATCAATACTGACCCCAGCAGTCACTAAGTGAGTCCCACAATGATCAATACTGACCCCAGCAGCCACTAAGTGAGTCCCACAAGGATCAATACTGGCCTCAGCAGCCACTAATTGGGTCCCACAAGGATCAATACTGACCCCAGCAGTCACTAAGTGAGTCCCACAATGATCAATACTGACCCCAGCAGTCACTAAGTGAGTCCCACAAGGATCAATACTGGCCTCAGCAGCCACTAATTGGGTCCCACATGATCAATACTGACCCCAGCAGCCACTAATTGGGTCCCACAAGGATCAATACTGACCCCAGCAGCCACTAAGTGGGTCCCACAAGGATCAATACTGACCCCAGCAGCCACTAAGTGGGTCCCACAAGGATCAATACTGACCCCAGCAGCCACTGAGTGAGTCCCACATGATCAATACTGACCCCAGCAGCCACTAAGCGAGACCCACAAGGATCAATACTGGCCCCAGCAGCCACTAATTGGGTCCCACAAGGATCAATACTGACCCCAGCAGTCACTAAGTGAGTCCCACAATGATCAATACTGACCCCAGCATCCACTAAGTGAGTCCCACAAGGATCAATACTGGCCTCAGCAGCCACTAATTGGGTCCCACAAGGATCAATACTGACCCCAGCAGTCACTAAGTGAGTCCCACAATGATCAATACTGACCCCAGCAGTCACTAAGTGAGTCCCACAAGGATCGATGCTGGCCTCAGCAGCCACTAATTGGGTCCCACATGATCAATACTGACCCCAGCAGCCACTAATTGGGTCCCACAAGGATCAATACTGACCCCAGCAGCCACTAAGTGGGTCCCACAAGGATCAATACTGACCCCAGCAGCCACTAAGTGGGTCCCACAAGGATCAATACTGACCCCAGCAGCCACTGAGTGAGTCCCACATGATCAATACTGACCCCAGCAGCCACTAAGCGAGACCCACAAGGATCAATACTGGCCCCAGCAGCCACTAATTGGGTCCCACAAGGATCAATACTGACCCCAGCAGTCACTAAGTGAGTCCCACAATGATCAATACTGACCCCAGCAGCCACTAAGTGAGTCCCACAAGGATCAATACTGGCCTCAGCAGCCACTAATTGGGTCCCACAAGGATCAATACTGACCCCAGCAGTCACTAAGTGAGTCCCACAATGATCAATACTGACCCCAGCAGTCATTAAGTGAGTCCCACAAGGATCGATACTGGCCTCAGCAGCCACTAATTGGGTCCCACATGATCAATACTGACCCCAGCAGCCACCAATAGGGTCCCACAAGGATCAATACTGACCCCAGCAGCCACTAATTGGGTCCCACAAGGATCAATATTGACCCCAGCAGCCACTAATTGGGTCCCACAAGGATCAATACTGACCCTAGAAGCCACTAATTGGGTCCCACAAGGATCAATATTGACCCCAGCAGCCACTAATTGGGTCCCACAAGGATCAATACTGACCCCAGCAGCCACTAATTGGGTCCCACAAGGATCAATACTGACCCCAGCAGTCACTAAGTGAGTCCCACAATGATCAATACTGACCCCAGCAGCCACTAAGTGAGTCCCACAAGGATCAATACTGGCCCCAGCAGCCACTAATTGGGTCCCACAAGGATCAATACTGACCCCAGCAGTCACTAAGTGAGTCCCACAATGATCAATACTGACCCCAGCAGCCACTAAGTGAGTCCCACAAGGATCAATACTGGCCTCAGCAGCCACTAAGTGGGTCCCACAAGGATCAATACTGACCCCAGCAGCCACTGAGTGAGTCCCACATGATCAATACTGACCCCAGCAGCCACTAAGCGAGACCCACAAGGATCAATACTGGCCCCAGCAGCCACTAATTGGGTCCCACAAGGATCAATACTGACCCCAGCAGTCACTAAGTGAGTCCCACAATGATCAATACTGACCCCAGCATCCACTAAGTGAGTCCCACAAGGATCAATACTGGCCTCAGCAGCCACTAATTGGGTCCCACAAGGATCAATACTGACCCCAGCAGTCACTAAGTGAGTCCCACAATGATCAATACTGACCCCAGCAGTCACTAAGTGAGTCCCACAAGGATCGATGCTGGCCTCAGCAGCCACTAATTGGGTCCCACATGATCAATACTGACCCCAGCAGCCACTAATTGGGTCCCACAAGGATCAATACTGACCCCAGCAGCCACTAAGTGGGTCCCACAAGGATCAATACTGACCCCAGCAGCCACTAAGTGGGTCCCACAAGGATCAATACTGACCCCAGCAGCCACTGAGTGAGTCCCACATGATCAATACTGACCCCAGCAGCCACTAAGCGAGACCCACAAGGATCAATACTGGCCCCAGCAGCCACTAATTGGGTCCCACAAGGATCAATACTGACCCCAGCAGTCACTAAGTGAGTCCCACAATGATCAATACTGACCCCAGCAGCCACTAAGTGAGTCCCACAAGGATCAATACTGGCCTCAGCAGCCACTAATTGGGTCCCACAAGGATCAATACTGACCCCAGCAGTCACTAAGTGAGTCCCACAATGATCAATACTGACCCCAGCAGTCACTAAGTGAGTCCCACAAGGATCGATACTGGCCTCAGCAGCCACTAATTGGGTCCCACATGATCAATACTGACCCCAGCAGCCACCAATAGGGTCCCACAAGGATCAATACTGACCCCAGCAGCCACTAATTGGGTCCCACAAGGATCAATATTGACCCCAGCAGCCACTAATTGGGTCCCACAAGGATCAATACTGACCCTAGCAGCCACTAATT